TTTCTGCTACGATCCCCAACAGTCGGCCCCCCGCGTCTTGTTTGACGGAATGCCAACACCAATGCCAACGGTCGACGACCCCTTCTACAACAAGTACATGGATGACATGATCTTCGAGGGTGGGCATGGCCGTGCCTATGACCCCGAGGAGACCCAAAGTCAGGATGGCTGCGCCCAGTACGTGCCCGATGAAGAGGCCGACGACCGTGCTGACTACGACATGGTGACTCGTGGCATGAAGACGATGACATCTATGTCGAAGGTGATGGTGAAGAAGAAGAAGGCAATGACGTTGATATTAGTGGCAAGCCATTGTTCATCGACGAGCTCACCCAAAGAGCGGAAGCACAAAAGAAGAGGAAGAGCATTCGCACGGGTTCATACACACAAGATGAGGACAAGTTGATTTGCCAAGCTTGGATGGAGATTAGCCAAGATCCAAGGACCGGCGCGCAACAAAAGGGCATTGTTTTTTGGACGAGAGTCCACAAAACATTCCATGAAAGGAAGATGTTTGAGCCCTACCAATTTACAAGAAACCGTGGCATCGGCTCGATTCAAAAGAAATGGTTGTTCATCCAACAAGAGTGCAACAAGTATTGCGCCGCATTTGAGAGCGTTGAAGCACGGCCCGTGAGTGGTCTCGGCGTTGGGGACATGGTATGCTCTCCTCTTCCTAGCCCTTTCCTTGCTACAGCCACGACACTTTGGCCGTGTATATGTTTGCATGTTCACTTGTTGTTGATCATGTGGTTTAGGCATTTCAATCTTTGGAGGCATTCAAGGCCCGACACATTGACAAGCCATTCACTCTTACGCATTGTTGGACGATCATCAACAATTGCCCTAAGTTCAAGGACCAATACCGTGAACTACAAAGGAAGAGAGGACTAAAGACGGCCAAGTACGCTGGAGGTGGAGATGGCGAGGCGTTGAGGCCGAAGGGCAAGACCAACTCCAAGGTTGATGACATACGTGATGCCTCATCCATGGCATTGCATGACACTTTGCATGGCATGATGTCCCAAAAGGATGTGAGGGACGAGAAGAAGCGGCAAAACAAGGAGGAGCAAATGAAGCAATACCTAAACCTTCAAAGAAAGAAGCTTGAGATGGAGGAGGCGGCCAAGAGGAGGAAGATCGACATGGAGGAGGCGGCCCGACGAAGGCAGCTCGACATCGAGGCCGACAACGTCAAGGCCAGGCAGAGGCAGCTCGACATCGAGGCCACGAACGCCGCCACCAAAGCGAAGGAGGTGGCCCTTGCGATCATGAGCGTGGACTTGTCGAAGATGAGCGACAAGACGAGGGCTTGGTTCGAGGCCAAGCAGAAGGAGATGCTCGAAGCCGAAGGCCTGAACTAGGTCGTCCGATCGGCCGTGGCCGTTCTTTTTGGAGGCTGGCATGGGTGCCGCCCGCCCGCTGGGCCGCTGGCTGTGTGCCAGCGAGAAAACATTCATTTTGGTGGCCGGCTGTGTTGCCGGTGAGGACAACTATTCATTTTGGAGGCTGGCTGTGTTGCCAGCGATGAACGTGTAGGCCGCTGGCTCTGTTGCCGGCGTGATGAACCGGGGCCGCTGGCCTGAACTAGGGCTTGGCATTTAAAACGTTCTTTTGGTTTTTAAATAGACACGGACAGAATGGGGCAAATGGATGCGGCCGCGCGCTGGGCGCATGGCCACCGCATCCTAGGACAGGCCCGGACACAACCCCAAATCCCTACCCAAACGGATAGAATCCGGACAAAACCGACGTCCGTTTGGGGTCGCGCGATGGAGTTGGCCTTAGAGACCAGTGGCCGGGCCAAGTCCCGGCACTAGTCGATGAAGGCGGTGAGGGAGGTCTCTGCTTCGGTAGCCTTTGGCGGTGAGAAGCGACTTACAACTGACGACTTGAGGCAGAGACTACGTTCGTGGCCACCACATGATTGCTTGATTTGGTCGTGCTTCTCTAGTATCCGATCTCGAGCTTCAGGGTGGAAATCTAAGATTTGATCTAATTGGTTATACCTGACAACGGAAGCATTGATCGAATTTGCTCAGACTTTATCTTTATGGTCAAACCCAAGATTTGATCTTTGATGATTGGATCAAACGACGACATCGCTTAAGCATCGTTTCCTTCGTGTAGGAATTGCTGCTAAAGAACATTTCTCGTTGCCTATGTGATGTTAAGAGATGTTTGATGCAGATGTTTGTTGTTGTGGTTCTTCGACCGATGTTTTGGTACAGACTTTTTTCCTTTTCCTTCGCCTCAGCGGAGCTTTGGTTTTGATTGGGGACTGTGTGCTCATTTTTTTGTATTTGCTTGATACTTTATTTTTGGTTAATATAATCTTTTTTTAACATCAGTACAGACACAAGCGTTTATATACACGTGTATACACTCATCCCTATGAACGCACACACACCCTACCTCTATGAGCACCTTCGAAAGACTGAGCCGGCATATCATTTTGAGATTTACGAAGTCACCGTAGGCGCCTCGTCGTCGACAGAAACGTCTATTTTCATTGAATGTGCATCACCGAAAATTCAGAAATAAATTCAGAAATAAATACAAGTATGAGGATTTAAACCCTGGTGGACTGGGGATATCAGAGATTGGTTCATCAATAAAATTTCCTTTGTTTCAACCATAAAAAGATTGCATCTTACTTAGTACTACTATATTGGAAAAAAAATAAGGTGAACAGCACGTAGGCGCACCCTGCAGTCCGACGCCATAATGTGTGGTTGGGACGTGAGGTGTCGATGCCGCGATGGGACGTGAGGTGTCGACCACTGGCCCAAAGCCCCTCCCACCGTGTGGCAGCTTCCAGTGGTTTCCGCAAGTGTAGTCAGTGAAGCACTCCGAGTTCTGGAAGTCTTTTCTTGATGGAAGAAGCTCTTTCGATTACAGTACTAATTTTCGCTCTAGGCTTGTCCTGAACATGAACGGGTGGAGCAAGAGCAACTTCAACGAGCCGACTCAAACAGACGGTATTTTTGTCTGCTTTTTGTTTGTTTGGATCGGCCGCTCGCCCGTCGTCCGCCTTCTTTTAATTTTGGGTCGGCAGTGTGCCTAATGGGCTGACCCATTTTATGACCGCGCGCGTTTAAGATCATGTCGTCGTCCTGGTTTTGACGCTCCAGGGCGCGGAAAAGGTTCGCGCGCAGGGGGAAAGCGGCCTAGCACGTGCTGGTTTTGGTGTTCCAGCGCGCGGGAAAGGTTCGCGCGCGCCGCGGCCGGCGCTCGTTATAAAGAAGGCGCTCCCTTCACACTCTGTCCGCCGCCCACTCTCGCCGCCTCTGCGCCACCATGTTGATCCGCCGCCTGGGCGCTTCGGATTTTCACGGAGTCCGCGAGCGCCGCTTTGGCGGCTTCTCCTTCGAGATCTGGTTTCGCGAGAAACGTCTCGTCCTCGGCACCTTCGACACCGCACAGGAGGCGGCCCGTGCACACGACGCGGCGGCGTGGCGCCTCCTGAGGCCTCGCCGGGATATGAATTTTCCCGACGTGTCAAGCCAGCGGGCGCAAGATCTGGCGCCTCTCCCGTGGCTTTTCACTGACGAGTATCGTCGTGTCCATCGAAGGCGGCAGCGTCGCCTCGCCATCGCAGAGAAGAACGTGGAAGCCTTGGTGGTGTGGCGCGGAGGCTTCCCGCAAGACATCGTCGACGAGCGCCAGTTATACGAGCAATTGAGATCGGAGAGGGACGCGAGGAGGAGGGGGCGAGCCGCCTATCGGAAAGACAAGCGTTCGCGGAAGCAGGCAACTCAATTGAAACTAAAGCTATGAGAAACGTCGGGTTGGGACTTTGAAGACGAGCAGCTTGCTGGCGCCTATCTTCAGACGTCGGAGGAGGACATTACCGAGTCGGAGTCAGAAAGCGACGAGTAGTGATCTTTTTCTTTTATCTGTGTACGCTAGAACTATCTATGTACTGAAAAAATGGCCGGCGGCGTCGGCAACGTAGCAGGCGGGCGAGGGTGTGAATCCACATTGCCATCGACAAGCGGGCCCGGTGAGGAAAGAGAGTGAGCGCGCGCGTCCGTCTTTTGTCCGCGCCGATGCAAATCAGACTAAAAAAATAAACCAGAAATGGGTTGGCAGACGGACGAAAGCGAACACGCGTCCGCTTAAGTCGGCGTGGAGTCGGACGGCCGCGGACGAAATAGGTCGCTCCATTGAAGTTGTTCTAACCTCTGATTTTCGAAGACCACGATCTATCTAATTAATCGATCTGGCCGCGGCCTAGGAATGATGACTGATCAGCACCAATTACCGAATGATCCGCAAAATTTTGTTCTTACCGATTTTAAAGTGGACACTTCATCATGTTTTCACGTGATTCCGTGCACAATGTCAACCGCGAACGAATAACCGCACACGTCCTCCAGTCCTCCTAGACAGCCTCTAATCCAACGGCTTAATTTACACGAGCAAGTACACGATCGGGCGCCGTCACGCCACAGGTACAGGTATGAGACTAAACAAAAAGCTGGCCAACATGTGACGGATCCTCACACGATACGGTGCGCACACCGGCCCCCATGGAGACAGGCGAAACCGAAATCGAGCTTTGACTTCGGGTATCTACCAGCTCACGCCCGGGCCGTCGGATCCGTCTACGCGGCAGCTTCCCGTGCGGCGCCGGGATCCCGAGGGAACCCGCGCGGAAGCCGCGCCACGGGGCCCGCGACACCTGTGGCACGCCGCGGCCGCGGACAGCGGCCACGTCCCGGTCGGGGCCGTCGGAATCCGACGGCGACGCCGCGCCCAAAAGGCCCCCCGATCGATTGCACGCGCATCTCCCGCTTGTCCCACTCCCCGGCTATAAAACCCCGCCCCCGCCGCGCAAACTGGCAACGACGACCCAGCCGGCAGGCAACCAAGAAACAGCTGCTGCTTTATTAGCTTCTTCCATCCATCCCAAAGATCACAGGGCGAAGAGAGGAAGGGAGTGATATTTTTCCGAGGAGGGGAGTGGAAGGAGATCGATCGGTCGAGAACCGAAGATGTGCATGGACCGACCCCCGGTGCCGGCCAAGAAGATCTGGCTCGCCATCGCCTCCCGCCTCGGCCTCCGGCCAACAGCCGGTACGCTCCAACTTCTTCTTCTTAGCTCGTCGATCGTCCTCTTTCTTGCCAACGGCTGCATCTTGTCTCTCTTCGTCGTCGGCGAGTTTCTTGGATTTGTTTCTGACGGATCGGTCGGTTGCAGGGCTGAGGAAGCTGAGGAAGGAGGTGAGGACGTGCGAGTACCGCGACGTGCACATCATGTGGGAGATGCTGAGGGAGATGGACTCCCCGGTGCCCCTGGAGGAGAAGGAGGCCGCCGCCGCCGCGGCCGTCGCGGCGGCCGCCGGCGCCAGGAAGAAGAAGGCGGCGTGGAGCCGCTTCGTCTACTACTGCTGCGCCTTCTGAGCTCCACAGGATGTGATCGATGAACGCGGAAACTGGACAGCTAGCTGGCTGGAACCGCGCCGTCAGAGTTAGAGCAGCTAGCAGAGAGGCCGTGTGTAGATAGAAACAGCACTGGCCCTCTCACAGGCTGTGCGAATAACCAAACGCGTGTGGATCCGTCCCAAATGGTCCATTGGAGATCGATCATCGTTGTGCGCAAAACAGGATTCAGATTATGAGGATGTGAATTCAGAGGATGGTGAACGAGATGTGCGGCCTACAGCCAAAGAAATCGTATTCTCTTGCCTCAAGAACCACCCTATTACCGGCACGTAGGGCTCCCTTTTCCCCGGAGCAGAGAGAAGAGAGCGATGTTTGTAGTAGTAATTCGTACAAAGAAAATTAAGAAAAAAATCTATAACATCGGATCTTGCCCCTAAACTTGTTTGTTTGATCTAGCCAATTAATCTTCTTAAAATTGGTTTGCCTTTTCACTATTGTTTGTGGTGATGATTTGTCTCCACTGCGACGATGTCACTTGATTTTGCATGTTGTTGTTGTTTTGTTTTTCTTTGCTTTATCTTCTCTAACTCGTTGGTGATATGGTTTGAATACGTCGAAACCGGAAATAGAACATACCAGAAAGTTCTATCAAGTTGGCAATCACGGATGAAATTTAACGTTCTCGGGTACTCAATCCGTCCAACATCAAGTTTATATTGTTTCTTGTATTGCATCAGTAGAAAATACTATTAACTATGAGTAGTGCAAAAACTATGTAAAATACCATACAAATTAGGTATTAACTATGAGTAGTGTAACAACGATTGGAGAAGAACTGTAATCATTTTGATCAACTGTGGGCATGCTAATCCTTTTGACCAATTGCAAGAACAATCTTCAGCTTTCCAAATCATTTTCTTTCCGTCCGTCCTCATCGTTGTCTTTTCCCCGCCCTCCCACCCCTCTTTCTTCAAGAATCTCAGGAGCTCAAAGACATCATTATTCGTTCTCATTTTCTTTTCCGATGAACTCAATTCAAGCTTCTAGTTGTGGTGCCAACCAAACTCTTCAAGCAAAGTCATCTTTGTGTGTATTTCTAAGGCACACCAGTTCAAGTATCTCTTCATATCATTTCTAGTATCTTTTCTTATCATTTCAAGTATCTCTTCATATCATGAATCAAAAATTGAAACATTGACTTTCAAGTTTAGGATTCTTCTTCGATTCACGCTCTTTCAGTTCAATGCCATTTTCCAGTGTCATTGATTCATGAACCTCAAAATTCTGAAATGACCTTGAACGAAGACTAGGAGGTTGTCACCTCATTAGGTCATTCAAGGAAATTGTGAAAGGATGATGAGCACAAGATGAGAGTATAGTTTCTCTTTACAATCATCATTCCAAATGGATTTTATTTTGAGTGGATCCATAACCCATATGTCATCCCATGATCTTACATGGCTTTTCAAATCTTTTCTAGAAGATTCTTGACGTCGGGTCTTTGTTCAGTGTATCCTATCATAGAGATCTAAATGATTTTTGAAGATTAGGTTGTCATATCCTTCAAGCCTTTTGTTCCAAGTATTTCTCAAATCTTTTCCAAGCTTGACGTCAGGATGAGTTCCATCAGTCGGTTGTCTTCTCCAAGATTGCTTTTCAAATCCTTTTTCATCTTTGTTCTTATTTTTTCTCTTTTCACCATTCCAGAGTATCTCAGCAAATTTTTATTTGGGTTCCTCGACAACGTTCTCAACACTAGAAGACCGAAGAAGAGTTTGCTCTTGATATCTGTCAATTCTCTTAAAGATTCGTGGATTCAACTTTGTGTTTCATTTCCAAGTGTGATTCTGGTTGTCAGAAGTCTTTGTGTTTTCATTAGTATACCAAAGAAGATACCGCGAGGGAATTGGATGCAGATATCTGTGAGAATTGATAGTATAAACTTTAATATTTGGATTAGCAATATAAGAATCTTGGAATCAAAGGTACTTAGGCTTGCCTATGCACTTGGGTGAATCAAATAAGCGGGAGTTCGAGTATCTGAAGGAGAAGGTGTGGTCTAGGATCCAGGGCTGGAAAGAAAAACTCTTGTCAAAGGTCGGTAAAGAAATTTCGATCAAGGCCATTACCAAGGATATACCTACGTATGATATGTCTTGTTTCGACCTTGCGAAGGCATTGTGTGAGGAGATTGGCAAACTAATCTGTCTGTGCTGGTGGAGCCAACAGGAAGATGAACACAAGTGTCATTGGATTAGTTGGGAACGCATGACACGGTCAAAGAAAGATGGAGGGTTTGCTTTTCGGAATCTGCACACGTTTAATATGGCTATGATGGCTCGCCAAGGATGGCATCTCTTGCAAAACCTAGATACTCTATGTGGTAAGGTGCTAAAAGTGAAGTATTTCCTAGATTCATCGGTCCTTGAGGCATTAGGGCATCTCCAAGGCGGACATGCAAACCGTCCGGACCATGCTGTCCGGACTGAGGAAGCCATCCAACGCAGGACTGTATAAGTCCGCGGGGTGGTCCGGGCGTGATTTCTCCCGCAAATTGGAGACAAAGTGGGTGGAGGTTTGCGGGAGTCCAGACACCCAAAACTTAGGACTCCGACACCCCCGACCCACCTAATCCCCCTCTTGGTCCCATTTCCTTTCACTCCGCCTCTTCTCTTCCTTTCTTTGCATCCGCACCCTCCACCACCGCTACCGTTGTTGTTCTTCTCCGGTCGCCACAAAAGCATTGTCAGATGTCCGCAACCAACACCAACGCGCCCGCTCGCTGTTCCAACGAAGCTTTCCACCCTGGAGCCGTTTGTACCCAGGTATACTCCGCTCCCTATCGACGACTTCCATGGAGGACACCACGCCCGACATGTGTTCGGTAAAATGCCATTGAGCTTATTTTCAAATTCTATGTAATTTTTTAGAGTACGAAGGATGATGAGCTACTCGGCTATGGAGGATAAGTTGTTGTGCGATGCGTGGCTAGCCGTATCTACGGATTTCGTATGCAGGAGCAAAGGGGAGCATTCTCGGAGCAAATGCATGAAAAGTTTCACGCACAAAAGCACATTGCGCCCTACGACATGTACAACATTCAACCACACTACATGAGGTCGTTGTTGTATCGTTGGCACGCTATCCAGATTAGCTTCACCAAGTTTTGCGACGTGGTTCGTCAGTTTAAGGCAAGGTGGCCATTGCACGCGGCAGAGGACGAGATCGTAAATTTTTCTTCCTCTTGCTCAACTTGTTGATTGATTCATTCTCTTAGTGTTGGTCTACAGGTTATATGTAGCCCGCGCGCACTGTCGTGGTGTACCATAGGGTTGAGGGGCGGCCATTTACATGCACACATTGTTGGATAAAGCTGAAGGGGAGTATGTGCTGGAATTTTGTCTATTTTGGGCCTAGCCCAATAGCAGTTTCAGAAATTCCTAGTAAATCCTAGAGGCCCACGCAACCCATTCATGCAAGGCAAGAGGTGGAACTAAAGTTTAGTCCCACATTGATAGTTTAGAGAGAGTTGGACCTCCTTATAAGAGAGGTTCTTTCCCTACTTGTATGAGCATGAGAACAAGAGGGATATCCACGCACGCTCCTCCTCCGCCGGCCGCCTCGCCATGACGCGCCGCGGGTTGCGGGAATGAGCCGAGCCGATATCTAAATTTTTGCCACGCACTACGGGTATACGAAAGGCCACTCGAGAGCTGGAATTTTTTTTGTTGTAGTGGATATTGAATACGAGCGCTGCACCCTTCGGCTGCTGCCCATTCGGTTCCTCTTCCGCGTTCCCTTCAGCTTCCGGCGCAGCCTCTCGCCTCCTTCTCTCGCGCCTATAAAAGGGAGGTCGCTCCTCTCAGAGAGACGCACCAGAGCTTCTCCTTCCTCTCGCCACCGGTTCCAATCTCTGAGCTACTGCTGTCTTCCTCATCCCGGCTTGCGGCGTGCACCGCGAGTCGGGACAGTAGGCCTCCGAAACCGCACCTCTTTGAGTCATGTATGGGAGAAGGGTGATAAGGTTTTTGGGGAGCGCTTCACGCGACTACTGACTTCCTCATCACAGGCTCCGACGGCTACTTCCCTGACGACGACTTCTTCCCCGACGTTGACAACCTCATCAACGACATGGCTGGAGAGGATGTTGACCCCAAGTCCAGTGCTTCTACTGCTGTCCCGTACGTGTTCTTGCTATTTCTGTTAGAAGTCCTGCCACAGTTCTTTGCTCCAGTCTCTGCCCTACATATGTTAGATTCCACTTCATATATGAAACTTGTCCTACTGTCTGTTATAGATGTGTTTAGTTCAAGTTCATATATGCAGATGCTATTTACCTTCTCTCTGTCAGATTGCATGGCTTGCTTTATCTCTGCTATATTAGTCATGATTTATTTACTATTTTCGTTAATAAAATCATTCGGTAAATTGCTCATATTTCCAACAATCCAAAAACCTTATGATAGGCAATTTACCCCGAGTGGTTTTGCTGCTTCCATGAAACCTCCTATGTTTGAGGGTATCCACTATAAGAGGTGGCGCGTGAGAGCAATCTTATGGTTTCAAACCATGAGTTGCTATGACGCCACTCTTGGCAAACCTGAAGGAGAGCTTGATGCTCAACAGGCACAAACTTTTCAGAAAATGGATACTCTATTTAAGGCTGCTCTCTTGAGTGTTCTTGGTGAGAACATAGTTGATGCTTATGCGTCAATTGATAATAGAAAAGATATGTGGGAAACACTCGAGGCCAAGTTTGGGGTCTCGGATGCTGGCACTAAGCTGTACATCATGGAGCAATTCTATGATTACAGGATGACTGAAGAGCGTTCCGTGGTTGAGCAAGCTCATGAGATTGATACGTCACCAACGTATCTATAATTTTTGATTGTTCCATGCTACTATATTATCAACCTTGGATGTTTTATATGCATTTATATGCTATTTTATATGATTTTTGGGACTAACCTATTAACCTAGAGCCCAGTGCCAGTTTCTGTTTTTTCCTTGTTTTAGAG